GAGCATTTGCTGGCATTCTGGCGGACGACAAAATTCTGGGTAGTGCAAGTAAACAATGATTAAATTTAACACCCGTGCAAAAAAGTGACACTTTTCTAACTGAAAGGCGAGCGAAAAAGTGTCGCTTTCAGCATACTGGTAAAAAGAAATCTGTTCATCTATTACGAAATTTAAGTTACTGTCATATGTTGCACGAAAGGTTGTCGCCGTTTGATTTAAGAAAGCAAGTTTGTTAACTTCTTCCTAAATTTGTAAGATTGGAGCTGTCTAGGATTTTACTGTGTTCACCACGACGATATAATTACAAACCTGCGCGGCTCGGGACAGAAACATCCATAGGAACGATCAGAATAAACTAGTAAAGTAACAATATCCTCTTGAAGACAATCACCGTAAGCTAAAATTTAATCAATAAGTTCCGTATTTGCAATGTGCCAATTTCTTTCTTTTTAATCCAAAATGTAAATAGGCAAATACGTTACGCTACACACCGCGCGCCGCATGATTTAGATACTGACACATTGGTTGCATGGTCAGGCTGGATCATTCAGATTTTTTCTAAACCTAATATCCCAGTTATCTGAAGGTTTTGGTGTATGATTTACAACGAAAATTTGCTTATTGTTGCAAGGCAAGCTCTAACTTTAACGACACCCTGTGTAGCTGTTTTTCATTTGGGTGGAGCATACCGCTGCCACTGGTTTACTTTCCATCATAACTGTAGACGTAGAAGAGATGCAGTCATTGGAGCAGTACTGAGACGTCACGGTTTCGGTCATTCGAAAGCCCCTCCAGTTTCCGGCAAAAATGGAAAGGAGAAGGCTGCTGCGTGGGAACAAAAGCCGACACGGCTGGGGGATTTTCCTAATGGGATTAATTGAAACATGAACAAAGGATCACAGGATTGATGAGAACAGTATTAACAACTCCGCAACTCGATGAGAAAATTACGAAAAAATCCTTCTCAGATAGTACACTATAGCTCACAGTCCGTTGATCACCGTAAATGAACTCACGTCGGTTAATACTATACGATCGACGTAGTGACATGAGTTCAAAATTGAAAAAATATATCAAGGCTATAGCAATAACTCTTCAATATCTGGGAAGCTGGGTCAATTTTTCTAAACGTCAACTCCCACAAGATACGAGTAAAATATAAAATTTATATCCAAGCTCAAAATTATTGAAATCTAGAGGAACAAATAACTTTAGCAATGACGTCTTTTGTCCATGTTTTTTTGCAGAATTTCAATTGCCCTCAGATGATCTTTTCCCAAAATACTCAAGATCGTCTGAAATAACAAAAACGAAATTTGAGCGTCTTTTTGTTATTGTTTTTGGCCTTTTTCTTTACCGTCACTGTACCAACCTTCAAAAACTACAAAGCTTTTGCGTCCTTGCCATAGTATTAACATATGTAACTTTATTGAAATCCGTGCGCTAGTTCTCAAGATAAGCGGATAGAACGGTTGAAAGACAGACCCACGGAAATGAGTGGTATGTTTTTTCGTGATTTACAAGCCATGTAACATCTATAGTCAAAATCACGAAAGATGACTATTACGTCGTACCATAAATTGTAATGAAGTAATCAATGGACGTACGTCGATGATAAAATCACGATGTCAGGAACATAATGACAACAAATTTATATTAGCATTTTGTGAAGTTAGGTTATTTCACTGATTATTTTTATTTCCACTTTATTTCATGGTTTTGAGTGATACCTTAATAATAATTTTAGTGGGGAGTTTTTGTTTTGAGAAAAAAAAGCATTTATGAGTAGAATATCTTAAGACAGGAACACCAAAGACCAAAGTATTATTCGAAAACGACCTAACCTGCTTTAACATAACCTAACTATTCATCTTACAAATATGATCGATCATGGAACATGAAAATATCGTTATCGGATACATGCAAATGAGCAACACAGTCTGTCTAGACAATAAAATTCTGTTTGTCTCTGTCTAATATATCTGAGACTTCATTAAAAATATTCACAAATCGCTGTCGATTGTCTTTACTACAGACTAAAATGATGACGTAACCGTCATCTTTCGTGATTAATAAACACAATATATATATATATATATATATATATATATATGTAATTTTCGAAAAATTTTGCGATTTCAATACTTCCCCGCCAGCAGCCGTGGAAAGTAAAAACATTCTTTCTATTTGGAACGCATTAGAGAAACACATTCCACATATATGCACATAACATAGAAACAACTTGATACCATTTAATGTAACATCTGAAATAAGCCCGCAGCTTTATGGTACATACGTACCTTTTACAAGGAAAGTGGACAAAATAAAAAATCTACTGTTATGTAGTTCTTGGATATTTCGGAAACGCAACATTCGTAGGTCATGGCCTGGAAACCCCTCCGCGACCGCCTTTAGAACCTAGAAGCCCCCCATTTGTGCATATTGATAGATAAAGGGCATCATTATAACTTGTAATGTTGAAAGAGAAGAAGTAACACATACTGTTGTTGAGATTTATCCCAGACCGGCCAATGGTGAACATGGATTTGATTTGATCCGTGCATAGTTCATAGGCATGTGAAAAAGAGTGATTTGAGTGATTTCGGGAGTTAAAAAGTCTTTCCGGCTAGTCAAAACAAGCCTATTAGCGCTCAATCAATCAAAATAATTCACTTCATTCCCAAGTGTTATCCCGCCAGAACAAGGTTAGTCGGTAGATATGAGACCTCAGGGTGAGGTTCTTTGTCCTTGGGTTTTGGATGCAAAGACAGACCCACCTGTCTTTGGCCTTCCATCCTAACCTTGTCGAACTTCGTACATCCAGAACTTGCCGATACGACAAAACAAAATTTCTTTGGGATCATCAGAGAAGCCGCGGTGTCCCGGCATTTAGGCTTCTGCCTGCGCGGCTGTTTCGGCATAAAAAAAATGCTCCGACAAAAAAAACACCAATAGGGCCGATTTCTAATCCGAAACTGTGCGTGTGAAGCTATTTCTCAAAATCGGGTAGTAGGCCGCAGAATTCCTACACCAAAGCACCTGAAATAGCAGCAAGTTACCTTCAGCTCTCGTATTTATGGTCGACAGAAATTATAAAAAATCACCTCTAACGAGATGGAGAGTAGAGTACGATTTTCTACCACAAAATTATCAGACCAGGAGATGTGTTTTATTACTAAAAATAAAATTCGATACTTTTAAGAACGTCTATGTTTTCTGAATAAGAAAAACGTTGTAATAATTTACTTTATCAAGATGTGGTTAATTTTTAGTCGACCATAAAAAGAAACTGTAACAATGTCTCATTTGAAAAAATGACTTCCTTGACCATAACCTTCAAGGTCACGGTCAAGGTCAAATATATGATTACTACCAGGATAGTGTGAGAAAAATGCTAACAACAGTATGTTTTATTTCATCTCTGATAGTATTACTTTAAAACGTATGTTATGTTGCCCTCCCATATCTCTCAGTAACTCCAATTTGGAGAATTTCGGAGTTCCGTAGATGACCGGGGAGAGATTTCTGGAGGTTGGGCCCATTGAGACTTTTGATATTCATGTTAAAAAACTTCCTCTATGCAAAATTTCAACCTAATCATGCTGATAATTCTCCGTATCTCCTCATCGTTAAACAAAGCCACATATGTAGGGTTGTGTTTTTAATAACCTTTCGGCCACTTCGGCTACCGTTCTCGAAGTACAGATAAAAAAGTGACAGTCTACAATATAGCTTCATTACTATAGTGGATGTTTCTTTGGGAATGCATTGAAAACACCCAGCCGAATCATTAGTAGAAACCCAAACCTACATTAATTTGTGGTTTCGTTTAGCGGCCAGAAACATGAAGAATTACAAATCGTTTGTGAAAACTACGCATATTCGCCGAAGCAATGTCATTCCCTTTCATCTCCCGCGGCATGGCAGCCTATCAATTGGCATACCAAACACGCGGTGCGGCGTTCTCACATATTCACACCACACGTGTTATGTTACACCCCCAATTAACCCCAATCTGTTAATTCCTGCTTCCTGCCACCACCATTGGCTTCCTGCCTACACACACTCTCTCCTGCTTCCACCGTATTGACTGATCATTGACATCCCCTTCCCTGCTGTTGCAAATACACCCTGCGGTTAATCGTCAGTTAAACGGTCGGCCGGCCCGTGCTCGTGTCCGGACGAGATTGGCTTGCTCAGGATGAGCCACTAGATCTGACCGCTACCTGGAGATTATTAGACGCTATATTGGATAATCGTTGCCTTTTGACTATATGTATACAGAGATCGTCTGCTAAATGGCCTTAAAATATATTAATTGGTTTCGTATGATATGGTGACACGTTTGTTGATGTTGAGTCCTCTACAGTAAATATCGTATCTAAATAATAGAGTAGAAAACCTATGAAGATCAAAACAAACTTTAGATCTGATAAAAAAGTCACCAATGTCGCCTTAGATATCTCTAGGTGGACAAAAACATTATCTTCATTTCACTTCAAATATAAACGAAAAAAGCAGAAATAAATATTTTCATGAATAAATGTTCTTCTGAGAAGGTTTTACGTGAACCCAAGTCTCTGAAAATGACATACATTCAGAGCTGGATGATGAAGACTCAAGGTGATATTTTGAAACAATTTATTTTGTACCAATGAACAACTTGTCGTGAGTATGGAAGAGGCCAGAACCATAACGCCATTCTGACTAAAAGCTTCTAATGGCAACCATATCTAGTTCCCAGTTTGGTCAATGATGCTAAATTATGAAATGATTCTACAAAAACGCTAGGGACAATGAATTTCATAGAAACTTAACAGCATTGGTACACCCCTTATTATATGTCAAATTAAATGTACAGTGTGGAACAGTCGAAAGGAATAAAGTCGTTATTTCTGCAAAAAAATATTAAAACATTTATTCAATAGACAACAAAATTACGTTACGTACCTTGGTGGGAAAGTATGCTATTATTGGCACCATTTTTATAACCCGAGGTATAAATAGAATTTTTTGACTAGTAATTATAATATATTACCAAATTTAGTTTGATTACGCTTTGAAATATAGCATTTCTGAACGTCCAGGAACACTGCCTGAATGAAACACATCAAACGCGAGTCCGACAAAGGCAGAAGATTCGTCGTACGTCGAGACATCAATCGTTTCCGTCTCATATCGGAATACTCCAATTTATCGAGTAGGTTTGACTCAAAGCTGTCGAAATAATGGCATAAATAAAGACAGCAGCGGCGGCCGCAGTAGTAGTCTCTTCGGTCTCCTGATCAGTCGCCGTGCGCTGTGCGGGTTCGAGTGATCGTCCCAGGAGAAATTTTTCTCTTGGCTATGGCTGTTGTGATTGTCCGTAGGTGGTAGATGGTCTCTGACTGTCGAACGCAGAGGTACCACCCGGCGGATCTCGTAGGCGGAGCCAGAATGTGTGCATGTTGCATGCACACGTGTTCCCTCGCCAGAGTCCGTGTGGCGTTCCCCCTTTCCCATGTATCCCCCTATAGCCCCACGGTACCCAATGGGTGCTTAGGCCTTAGGCCTTCGTGGTAGTTCGAGTATATAAAAAAAACAATCAACAACAATAATTTTAGATATGAAATCTACTCTGTAATGACTTGTAGTAATAAATAATTGTTAGATATGTTCAAAAATGGATAAAGGATAGCGGTGACAGTTATATGCCCATCAAGCTAAGGAAACTCTACATGAATGCACATATTCATCATTTACCTAGGGATGTTTCCATTATGTAACTTCTTATAGAAATTCGGTAAATAATGGGGGTTTTTCAGGTCAGCAGAAAAAAAATCATGTTGAATTACGTCGCGAAAATTATAATATCTACTTTAATCGGATTTGGTACATGGCTACTATGCATTTTTCGTTGTATACATTTTTGCATTTCTTCTACTTCTCCCAAATAGCTCTGAAGAAAAGTTACGCTACAGTCTTTTGATAGTCATTCACTTCCGAGCTAACATCTTATCTATCGGCCTACGGTGTTCGCATAAAAAATAATAAACATTGTTTCTATTCCTTCTATTGTCTGTTATCTTGCATCAAGTTTCACAGTATAGCCATAAATGACGATGCATAGGAGTGTTTCTCATGTTTTTTACCTGAAAACCTTTATTTCCTTTGCACCGAAATCAACAATTCAAAACCCAGGGTTAAGCGAGCACTGTAAAAATAACTATGGCTTTGAAAAACACTGGCCTACTATTGTTCCTTAAAACTGTTTAGCTCAAATTCAAATCTTTGCAACCCAGAATCTCAAAGTTTAAGACATTCACGTCACATCCCCATAGGAAGCTATCTTGTTTAAATAAATCCAAGATTCATTCCCTTAATTATCTTACCTTACATTTAAAGCCGCTTCACAAATTCTACGAAGAACAATGAAATATGCACTACGATATCTTTGATCAGACTGTTGTTCATATTAGTCTGCAGTAGCATATCATGACTTGAGTCGTTCTAATCTAGAACTACTGTCCTGAACACTTATAGGACGTCAGCAGCTGTCAGAATTTGGGATCATTCCCCAGGGAGCATCCAGATGGAATAACTTTACATATGATCCTACTATGTATACCTGAAATTGATGTGTACTTAACGCATATTATAAACTGCTGTTTAGAGAGGGGATATTTCCCCAATCAGTGGAAATGCGCTATAGTTATTCCGCTACCTAAGTGTTCTGATCCTACGAACTATGGTCAACTAAGACAGATCAGTCTACTGCCAATTTTTTCTAAAGTATTGGAACGCGTTATTTATGAGCATCTCTGCGCCTAGTTATATTCTAACAAAATTATTCCATCTAAACAGTCTGGATTTCGACAAGGTCATAATACAGCTTCGGCACTCTGTGATCTAACAGACAATATAACAATGGCACTTGATAACCAAAAAGCAGTAGCTCTCATACTTCTTGACTTTACTAAAGCATTTGACACCATTAATCACTCACTTCTTGTATCTAAATGCAGTTATTATAGATTTTCTGAAAAACCTATTTCGTTTATTCAAACCTACCTTGAAAATCGGTATCAAAAAGTTCGTCTAAATCAACAGTACTCTACGGAACAAAAAATTTGTTCTGGTGTACCACAGGGATCAGTCTTAGGACCGCTATTATTTTCATTATATATCTCAGATTTAGAAACAGAGGTAAAATCATGCAGCATACAATTTTTTGCAGATGATACCCAAATTTTCTATTCATTTAGGAGTAATGACTTGGAAACGGCAAATAATAAAATTAATCAAGATCTTGCCCAAATTGAAAAGTTCAGTAGTATTCATAGTCTTCATTTGAACACTTTGAAGACGAATATGTTGGTATACGCAAATAGAACAAAAAAGAATACATTTAAAAAGTAATAAATTAATTCCTGTGGATCATTCGAAAAACCTAGGTATTATCATGGATGATGACTTAAAATTTGTTGCACACGTGAACTATCTAATTACTCAGTGCTATGCTATTCTCAGAGTTTTATTTGCAAATAAGGCTATATTACATAAATCTGCGAGAAAGCAATTGTGTGAATATTTCGTGTTTTCAAAGATACCGTATTGCTTAGTGGTTTACTATCTCTATTTAGATATTATAACAAGAAATCGTATTCAAAGTATTATGAATATATGTTGCAGACTTGTAAATGATCTCAGAAAATATGATCATATATCGAATGCCATTAATGAACTCAAATGGATGAAAATTGATAAAATGTATAAGTACCAGCTCCTAAATCTGACTCATAAGGTTCTTTATTCAAAATCACCGTCATATTTCGTAAACAAATTCATACGTAGAGGGAATATGCATCGTATTAATATTAGATAGAGAGAGACTTTTTCAATTCCACGCCACAGCACGTCTCTATTTCAGAATACATACATTTACCATGCGATCAAATCATATAATTCTTTAGGCCGTAGTTTAAAAGAAACCAATCCATTATCCAAATTCAAGAAAAAAGTGAAAGAAGTTCTTCTTGATCAGCAGCGAAATCGGTTGTAACCCATAAGTGTCCTCATATTTTCCTTATGTATTTACTTGGATTATACTTTATCTGTCGTTACTGTATACAGGTGCCTATTAATTTTCAACAAATTCTTTTTTTTTACATCTCGTATTGTTAAGGGGGTTAGATGGTAGAATAGATATATAATCTAAATCTCGCCTCCTGTAAGAATATTACAAATAAAAGACGTTGATTATTATTATTATTTAACTGTGTTTGAATTGGCGCCGACGAGCATTCTTTGATCAAATATTATATGCTTTTAGTCTTGTGACATGTGATACAAGATACTCCGGTGTGAGTGTGTAAAGACTGTAAGGATGTTGTGTAAATGTCACCGTCATTTACGATCGCAATATCTCGCCGGTTCCCTTCTCATCTGTCCGCGTCTAGCTGGCCGCGAAGCCTCTTAATCTCCGCCAGACCGACAAACTACATACGTTCGGCTCCTGCACGGATTACTCCCCAGGAATTATGAGCACCGAGCACCAGCTGAGGGGATAAGGCAAACGCCATGGCCTCACAGACCATAATGGCGATTAGCTTTCTAACAGATACGACGTCGTGTTACTCGCACGCCGGACGAAAATTACGCCGCGTACGCTATCTAGCCGGCTTGACAGGTTTTCCCTTAGATTAAGTTACGGATTAAATTCAAACTGGTATAGTGTAGATTGATCAATTGTCAAAATGTGACGGAACCAAGTAATGTAATTTCGGTACCGAAATTCTTACCCCAGTCATGTGGTAGTTTCACCTTGCAAAAAATATCATAGGTGGGTTTTTGTTTTAGTCTTAAAGTGGATCACAAGCAGGCCATACAAATTAGATGTTTATAATAATATAATAATAATAATAATAATTTATTGATGTTAATACACAGAAAGTGTTTACACAAGTCAATATATACTAATAGAGCGCTTAGAAAAATGTACATCAAACATGAATAAAACAAGTTAAAAACAATGCAATGCTGCGTAACGCATAATTACCAATAGCAAATTGAAAAAAAAACAATACAAAAATGTCGTCATGAGATAAAAGAAGATCGCTTAGAAAAATATATGTATAATACAATTAACTATACACATACAGAAAAACAAAACAATAACAACTGTACATAAGTTGGAGAGAGAAATGAATAAATAAACATTTAAGGTCTATCAGTAAAGTCATTTGCCAAATATTCGTCCGTGCTAAAGAATGCGTTTTTTATTAAATAATACTTGAGTTTCCTATGAAAAACATCAATATCCAATGTTTTTATATTGTTGAGCAGCAGATTAAAAAATTTAATGCCATAAAAGTTTGTTCCAGTTCTTGATTTTTCTAGACGGTAGTTATTATGACAAATGTTGTTTCTATTTCGTGGTTTTGTGGTTATCACTATGAGTGGAGAAGGTACTAATGTTAAGTACTTTTGATATATAGGAGACAACTCAAAATATACGCGCATGGAAGGGTTAGTATGGCCAATTTAATGAATTCAGCCTTACAGGGGTCTCTATATTTCAAACCAGAGATGTATCGTATACAACGCCTTTGCATGCCAAACAGATACTCTATCCTTTAGACTACGTATGAGATATATAACTCTGGACAAACGATCCACCACACAGCGAGTATGCACCTTCCATGTCAGAGTACAGTCAATATGAACGCCTAGCAATTTCACTGTTTGAGCAGATTCCAACTCATGACTGCGTAAGCTTAGTATTATAGACTGAGTTTTATCAGTGTTGAGCAATAGCATATTGGCAGCAAACCAATCCTCAAGGTCCGACTTACACAATGAACTAGTTTCGACAAGGGTGTTTACATATTTATTAGAATTTACCAAAGTAGTGTCATCAGCATATAAGAACAAAGCAGCATTGTGCGTATCTGACATGCTATTGGGGATATCATTAATGTATAATAAAAACAGCAGTGGTCCCAGTACGGACCCCTGAGGAACTCCATGGATCACTGATCTGGTATCAGAGTTACAGCCATTGAAATGTACTAGTTTTTCTCTGTCGGATAAGTAAGAGTCTAAAATCTTGATGCTAGAAGGATGAATGTGATAATATGGTAATTTTTTTATTAAAATACTATGTTGCAGACAAACAAAAGCCTTAGATAAATCGAAAAGGTCCGCCTTGGTATGTAGATGGTTCTCTAATCCTTCGTTAACAAGATCTATAAGACAACTGATTGCTGTAGTAGTAGATCTGTTCCGTCTAAATCCAAACTGCTTGTCATTAAATAATTGACTTGACTCTAGATGAGATGTTAGTTGATCCTTTAGCAGAATTTCAAAAATCTTAGCAAAGTATGAGATTAGAGAAATTGGTCGATGGTTGGAAAGCACATCACCCGATCCATTTTTAAGTATTGGAATGACTTTGGATATCTTGAGAATTTTAGGAAAAGTACTATTTCGAATACAAATATTAATTTACCTATTGAAAACCGGTGTAAAACTTCAAACGAATTGCAATATAGTTCTGAAGTGTGGTACAACATGGGACGCTT